CGCGGCCGATTGATTGCTCGTTTTGTTTCTATAGAATGGAATAGCCTGCAGGATTCTTTCGCAACGTGTTTTGCCAAGTGAACACACCGCGAAGGAATGTAGGCCTCGGTCAGAACTATCAGGATCGGGACACGGTGACCTCAAATTTGCCGACTAATTGAAAGAAAACGAATCCTTTTCTCTCTTCCAACTAAACGGGATATTTTGCAATTTTATTACATCTCCGAAAGTGGTGGAAGAGCGTTTTAAGAGTTTTTCTCTCTCAGCATCACGTGTATCAGCATGCGCTCGTGAAACGTCGCGAGAGAGTCGGGACGAACGCTTGAAAATGAAAGTTGAGATTCCACGGAGGGATCTTTCGCAATCGCGTGCACCGTTGGTTGCTTAGAAAGGCATTGGAAGAGAGAGAGAGAGGAGGCTCTCCTCTTTAACTGGACAAACATCTCACTTTTTGTCCAATCGATACAACATTCCCTACAGGTAAAACTCGTTCCGTTCTTTTTCGAGGACAAAGATGATATTCTCACCCACCGATCATCTCGAATTCTTCAATTATATTTTCTCTTTTTCTTCTTCTTCGACCTTCGACTTTCGAAAGTATTTTATTACACGAGAAATTCGTTTTATTTCAATTTTTGCTTTTTGATTTTCATAAAAACCCGTTCTTCCTACGATGTAACATTGATTTTCGATTAAAACAAGGAACGTGCATATGATACGCCAGAAAGAAAGTTTGGTCTACTCGTTAGTAGCACAACGACACTCATAAAAATGTCAGCTATCATTGTTTTCCGATGACAGCTAATTAGCAAATTTGTTGACGCGTGTTCGTATACGCATGAATATCGAACGAATGAGAGAACGAACGATAGGCTTCGAGAGACTATTCCAAATCGATATTTCCTTTCTTTCAAAGGTTAAAAAAAATTTTGGTTCATCGACCTTTTCATAATTGAGAAAAGACTTGGATATCGTTTGAAATTTTTTGAAAAAAAAGAACAAAAAAAAAATAGAGAAAAAGAGAGCACACAAGTCGAGAGGCGTTATCAGGGACAATGTTTTATTGAACGAAACACATGCACGATCAAATACATACACACGGGTGTTCCATCCTTGTCCGTTTCATTTATTTTTATAGAGGTGCATCGCTAAATGAATTCGAATATTTATCACAGAGAGTCATCTCGGAAATTTATTCATCTATTCGAATCTAAAAGGAAATTAATAGTAAGCAATATAATGAAATATTTAGCAAAAGGTTGTATAGAGAAAGAGTGGTCACGTATTTACGTTACGCACGGTCCAGCGAAACCACTTTCTCCGAGACCCGAGCCAGCCGTCCTTGGCAAACTAAACTGGATTCATTTAAGCGCACATTTCTCCGGATTTATCCTTCCCGATTGGAAATACTGAATATGTATTTGCATTAAAGATCCACGGTCATGGTTTTTACATTCGATTCGATGGGAAGACCAATTTACTTTTACAATTTCAACTTTGGTTCGTGGATATCAATAAAAATCAAATTCATAGAGAGAAAAAATGGTCTACGAGATAAAACATTTTATCTTTTTTAATGGGTTTCCTAAAGAATCATTGACAAGTTCGTATGAAATTTACATCTGTAATTAAAATATAGTTTTTATTACGTAGCGAAATAAATCTATGAAGGTTTTACTTGCAGATTGAAGATAAAGTTTCGTTGCACGATTAGAACGATTAGCGAGTATATCGCGAGCATGGCTACATACAGTATATATACATATGTACGTTTAATCGTCATACATGGAATAGCATAACCATTAATTATTTCCACGAGGCGCTCAAGCGTTCGTAAGATGGGGTTCGTTAGAGAGAGTGAGAGAGATACATTTATATATGGTAGAATAGGGTCTCTGACAAAGACACACAGAATGGGTGGCCCGAAGTAGACAAACACGTTAATGCTTTGCAGGGTCTCTTCGCATATGCATCCAACACCATTACCGCCAGCACCATCTCGGGAGCAACATCCGTGGTTGCATATCCAGAGCTTCAGGATTATCAAGTGGTAGCTAACAAGAGCGAGAGACCTTCCTTCTATCCCCGGCACCGATGCTTTCGCCAAACACCATGTAGGACGTTTGTGAATTATGCCATCATGCTAGAACGTCTAAAATACACACACACATAGACACAGATACATACATGCACATATACACTCTCACATCGACAGGAATGTTCTCCTTAAAGACACATTTGCAATCTCGATCATAGTTCGCGCAAGAAGGGTGATTATGCTCGACGATGCTGAACATTTTCTCTTTCTCTCTCTCCCTCTCTCTCCCTCTCTCTCTCTCTCTCTCTTTATCTCTCTCCTCAATCCTTCTTCTCCACCTCTTTTATTGGAACCTTTATGGAGTTCCACTTAAAACTTGAAGCCACCAGTACTCTTCGTCTTATTTATACGAACCGTATACATCGAGGTCGCTTCTGCAACTGCCTCCTTCAACTATGCCTTCTACTTCCCTTTCTTTGTCTCCCTTCTTCCACTTCATGTCTCTCTCTCTCTCTCTCTCTCTCTCTCTCTCTCTCTCACTTTTGCTAGCGAGTTATCAAGACAAACAGAAGTTTGGAAACTCTTGAGCAGAAAGTCGCTGTTTGTCGGCTAAAATTACTCACGTTGTACTCGAACCTTCGTTCCCCCGTTGGGTTCGGATATCGCGGAACGTTTACCAAATTAAACTTGATTTAAACATTTACTCGGGACACGCTCGTACTAAACTTTATCATAAACCTTCCCCCTTCCCCCGAAATATAATTGAAACGCTTGCTTCAAATTCTATGTATTGGGTACACGCATTCAAAATCAAATCTCCAAATATTTTTGTATATTGTGAATTATTTGCGCTTGGATCTTTTTTGTATTTAAATGAAACAGAATATTGGTAGGATTGTTCCTCTCGTTTCAAATTTCAACTGGATATCTCTTATCCCTGTCTCTCTCATTTTCTATTCCATCTTCTCTTTTCACTTTCCATACTTCTTCTGTTCGTTTATTGGCCATCTCTCGCTTATTTTTTCAGTTTGCTTTCCTTTTCCTCCCCTTATCGTTGCTTCGTATTGCCGCGAGCACCCAAATACCCCGAGAGTGTTTGTCAATTTCTGATCTACAGCTACGTTTCTTTCTTCATCGTCAAATAGAAAAGAGTTAAAGAAAAAAGAGGGCCATTGCTGCTGGATTATTCGTTCCAAGTTTGATGGAACTCTTTTCTTCCCATCAAAATGCAATACTTTTGTAGGAGGGTAGGTAGATGAAGGGAAGAAGAAGAAAAAAAAATAGAGCGTTGTTACGTGATAAGTAAAGAAATAAAAGAGAGGGGAGAATAAAAAGAGGAATATCGATGGCAATTTTCGAATCAACCCTTCGGTGAAAGAATTTGAATAAGAAAAATTTCTAGAGGATAAAGAAATGAAATACAAAAGAGAATAAGCACGCGTGATTCGGATGTTTCGTGTCACGCGTGTATTCGCGATTGGATTGGTCAACCGATTGCATATTGAATAGCTCGTTTGATATCAAAGCCCTCTTGTACTCGATTAAATCCTTGACAGCTTTTGTTCAAATAACGAAATCACACACACACACAC